AGGATTTTTAGTTGCAGTGTTGCTCAACACAATGAAACTTGATTTAAAATGAAATTTATGCTAGCAATTCAGACTGCAAGATGACTTCTCTTTGTTTAAGGTCTAGCACTGAAAGCTTTGCTACTGCCACACACGTCTCTAAAAAGATGATTTACCATCCCCAGACTGGGGATTTATTCTCTGTGCCAGAACTCTTTATAAACTGTGACGGTTCAACTTTTGACAAGGGAAGCTGATGCAAAAGGCAGAGTGGTGCTTTACAGAAAAGAGTACAGTGGAGTACAGGGTTTGTGCCTAAGGTCTGGCAGACTTATAAACTCCCTCAGGAATCTCCAGCACTAAATATTTACTGATGTCACTCAAAGGATAACATCAAATCTGCTAGTATGAAAGTAAAAGTAGACTCTCAGAACAGTCTCTTTCCATCACTTTGAATATCTTAAAATTATTTCAAAATTCTCAGTTCTTCTTCTCCCCCCGCCCCCCCCTTTATTTTAATCCTTGAAGGCACTGCTCTATTTAAAATAAAGCGCACTGTCTCGCTTTTGTAGAAATATGAAGAAATCCGGAAAAAAAAACCCTGAGAAACCCTAGGATAGTTAAAATGAGCCTGTTTAAGAGTGGAACACTGTGGACCTTTCACTACACCCATCATTTGCGCAGGAAGATGAAATCATGACATACAACCGCTGGACGAGAAATCACAACACACAACTGAAGTGAACTGTCACAGAGGTAATGCAGGGGAGGCTGTCGAGTCATGGTGGTCCTCAGGCTTGGGACAGCCTCTTTGGGCAGTTTTGAACCAGCCAAGACAAGGCAAGATGTAGCCACATGTTCTCCTTGCTTTGACATCAAAACTGTTTTCACAACTTACTGCCATTTCCCCTCTGCCCCCTGTTCACTCTCGCATCCTGGCTGCAGTTTGCCATCTTTTCAGTATTGATCTTGTTGGCTGGACTGAGCTGCAAACTCAAGTGTCGTAGAAAAGGTTCTTTCATTTCAAAATACTGTTTACCCACAGTTCCCTATAGCCTTGTCCCAACAGAAGGGGCAGAACAGTAATGGGGGAATTTGAGTTGAATCTACCCCTGGAACTGGTTATAATTAGAAAAAACAATGGTTCTGTATGCTAATAACAAGGAACGCCCTCAAACACAACACCATGTACCTTCCTGTAAACTTCCTCAGTTCCCCTTCCCCTGGTTGAAGTGACGTGTAGCCATTTAGCTGGAAAGCTGTGTTTTCCTGTACTGTGCTTCTCTATTTGGCTGTGTGCGGCTAATTCAAAGACATCAGCCCTTATTTTGGTCAATCCTCTTTGAAAGATTGTAGCTTTAAATAGTTAACATAATAGAGGGAGTATGCTCAAACCTAAGGATCTCTTTAAATTATAAAGTGCAATACTTTGCCACTTGGAAAGTAAAAATACTCACTGTAGCAGCAGTAGCAAATTACTTGTAATTACCAAATGAATTTTAAAACCTAGAAGGGTCAGGATGAAAAACATTAAACTGTTTGCAGCAGCTCTATCCCAAACTCCTTATTTAAAACACAGCCCCTTTGTCCCAGGCATAGACCCCTCTCTGCTTTGCACAGCTTCTCAAGCACAGCCCACCCCCAGCCCCAAGGCCCCACGTCCTGTTTATGAACCCACACGCCCTGCTTTCCATGTAACTCACCCCCTGTTAATTGCCCTTCATGCTCTGGGCTCAGGCTACGCTTGCAGGAGAGCTTCATCCCACACTGGGTCCCGCTCGGAGGATGGTCCAGCTCAGCACATCCTTCCAATATTGTGCCCAGCAACTACTACTGCATCACCCTGCCCCAGCCCTCCGGGGATACCACCGCATCATACTGTAAACAGGCGGCTGGTGAGGATACAGTCCGCCTCCATAGGATAAGCAGGAATTAAACCCCCCAAAATCTCATTTGGACTAAATTAGTCCTGTAGTAATGAATTTATAACACTTTGCACCCAGTTGAGTCATATGTCTGGGCAAAGCAGGAATAAAATCCTACTGAAAGGGAATTGCCTTGGTGTGCAGGCACTATTTTACGACCACAGGAGCCATTACTCTCCAAGGAGAGAAAAAAAGTCACAGAAAGGGAAGGAAATGCAGGCAGGTATGCAGGACTTGATTCTAACCCCATCTACACTGACTTCAGCAGAGTTATTCCACTGCAGAGGACATGAGAGTTTTCAGTTCCAAGGCTTAAGGACGGTGGAGAATAAAAATAATGAAAGAGTAATATCTGAAGTTCTTCTGGTCTCAGTCACACAGCAAATATCTTCTCAACAAATAATTGCGATTTAGACTCCGAGCAATTCTCAGTGGTCATATTGTAAGTCATATAGGAATTTTATGAGACCAAAGCTGTAATGACATGCTCTGGCTGAGTGGCAGAATAGCTATACAATCAACATGTTTTTGCACGCTCGCATTTTTGAGTGGATTAGTATTTCAGCACAGTCTAAAATAACAGCATAAATTTAATGGGCTGGCAGTCTTAAAAGTAGTAAAGTACAAGAACAGGTGTATTTATTTGTGCTGTTAAGTGTAACTGACACCACTGTAATCCTGCTGAGATTAGGCTCTGTTTTAAAACGGAGTACAAAATACCTGGTGCTGGAGCTAAGATAATCAACTGAAAATCAAAAGCAAAAGACAACAGGTAGCATTGTAGACATATTGTGCAGGGGTGATACATATATGTCACACATTAGCAAAACCTACTTCCTCTATTAGGCAGCCCTTTATTGGAGACACTATATTCAGACAAATTGAACAAATCCTAAAACATATAAATCCCTAACACTACAAATACACCTTTCCCCAAAGTTATGAAGTACTATAAAACCACATAGGTTTCTATTTTTCTTGCTTTTTGACAGGATTGTTGTTGGATACTTAAAATTTATGAGTTCATAGATGAATCAAACCTTGCAGTATACCAGAACTGGAGATGATACCTCTTCTAACTATACGTGCTTTACCACAAACATTAAAAACAATTACTTAGGAATAGTAATTTCTAGGAATTCTGAAAATATTTTCATTATAATTGTTATCAAGTCATTACAGAAAAGTCTGAAACATTTTCTTTAATCAATCAGTACATAGCTCCATAACTCCATACACTTGAAAACTATAATTTCGCTATGTTTTCTTCTTACATATGTGTCTATATGTACATACACACACATATATACACACTATTATAAAATGAGTGTCAAGAAAAGCAGGACCTTTAAATTTCCACATTTTTCCCTATATTTGCAATAGGAATGAAACTGTAGACACCACTTGTGCCATCTACAAAAACTGGATGAGCTTGATTTCAAATCCTCTTGACAGACACAATAACCACTTATGCTCTGTTTTTCCCATCGGCATTTTTCATTCTACCAAAGTCAGTTTGCTCTAAGAATATATTGTTAGACCATACATTCAGTCTTCACGCAACAACCCCCCCTCCCTCTTACACTGCCTTGAAATTACTAAATCTTGTGCCTGACCCCAAAATCATGCTTGCACTGCTCAACTCCTCCTTCTCAGTTTTCACCCTGCTGTGCACAGGAAAAAGAGTTTGCAGCTGTGGTGTTGACTGAGACCTATACACATAAACATTAAATGTTTCTTATTTTTGTGCTCTTCCAGTAGTTCAAAAAGTAGCCTAAACCATGGAACATACAAGCAAGCCTTACAGGGCCTGATTCTATTTGTGGAATGGCAAATCAACAGCAATTCCCCTGAACTCAACTAATCAAGACATGCTAATTGCCACATCTAGAGTGCCGTCAACTCACAATGGTGACAGAGGGAATTCAGGGTATTAAACATTTTGAAGGACTACGTGTTAAACAGAAACCTTCCCAGAGTCATAGTACCTCCTTACAATGCTCATTCTGTGAACTCTGACAGCAAAAAATACCTTCCAGCTAACCGTTTCAGATTTTTTCTGAAATTTGTATTAGTGATTGAAGGTCCGTTTCCTAATGGTTGGGAATAAAAGCCTATCTTGATAGCTAAAGTCACATAAGCCAAATTCTCCAGTGTAGCTACCACAGAGTAGATGTGCATGAAGTTGGTCAGGCAATTTGTTAGGATGATTAATGGGTTGGAAACATGGCGTGGTGGTGCAAATGCTAGGAGGGAGGGTAAGCATAAAAGAACACAGCTAGAGAAGCTAGCAAAACTCTGAACCCTCAAAGTGAAGCCTAAGGTGTATGCATGCTGAACTAAGTGCACCTAGAGAAGAGAAAATGTGTGCCTGGGTCCCTGGAAGTACTCATTAGCAGGAGTATCTCAGAAGAAGCTGCAACTATATGACAAGTAAAGTGGGCTTCTGTTTGGAGAAAGTGTTTTGGAGACATGTTTTCAGCATGGTGGAAAAAAAGATTGGAAAAAAGGATTCCTCGTGTTGCAGAATGCAAAAAATCTGTAACCACTGGCCTCCCACAAATATTTTTGCTATAACAAGAACTGATACAAGCAATGGTAGCTTGCCTTATTCTTCTTATAATATTAACTAACAAAGTGATTTCATTTGCTGTAAATGATAATGAATGGTAAACAACAGATATTCTAAAGCATGAGATGCTTTGGATGAAGAAATGCTGTATTTTGACCTGGAAGGTGCCTTTATACTAATTTCTTCTAGGGTGGATCCTGCAGCCTTGACTGACATGACCAAGCCAAGAGAAAGCAAAGGGCTACTCATTTGAATAGTGGCAGCAGCAAGTTCGGCAATTTTGCTTTATCCCTTCCTATGACTCAGCCTTTTAAAATCAGCATGTAAATTTTATTTCCATTATTTAGCTTAAAAAAAAGAGAGGGGATGTGTCAAATCAAGTAGAAAAAAAAGGACCATTTTACTAGGCCCACTGCTTCCATTTAGTGGGATGGACAACGATAAGAATAAATAAGAATACAAAGACAGGATAAATCAACTATGCTACACATGTGGCAATACATCTTATTTTACTGTATTTGTTATCAAGACGACATGCAGTCTAGAACTTCATGGCAAACACACTGGCAAAAGCCATAAACCATGAGAATAACAAGGCTCGAAGGAACAAGGCTTACAAAGACAACCCCAAGGGTGACTTTCTTAGATACCAGTAAATAAATCCCTAAAGGCAAGGAACTAAAGTACAGCAACCCTAGCAACCACACTAGCACCCGAATTGAGGTCTGGAAGAGCAAAGATGTGCAGTTCCACACTGTCCAGTTGTGGGACACAGTTGCAACAGAGTCAAAACTCGTAGGCCTGTAAAATTCCACCACGGGCGTTGTGTTTAGAGTCTGGGGACTTTCTCTTTGAACTTCCATGATTGTTATAACCAGGCAATTAGAAGAGGTGTGAGAAGGGCTAACCAGAGACGCCAACCTTTTGGGAGTCAGCAACAGTTCTGTTGGGTTGTCTGGTAGGCACTTCTTTCCCTTTCCCCCACAAGCTAAATTCAGAAGGATGTTGTTGTCATCAGGAAGACTACTAACCTCATCGTCTGGCAGGCACGTTTCAAACCTGCAAAACGGGCATACTATGACTCCTTGCGGGGAATCGCCGAAGTCTATGATCTTGCAAAGGCATTTGGCACACACTCTGTGACAACACTCCAGCACTTTTGGTTTTCTCTGTCGCAGGTTATAGCGGTTGTAGCAGATCTTGCACTCGAGCTCATCTGAGCTCTGGGTCTCCACAGACTCCTCTGGTAGTTGACTGGTCATTTCTTCTGATGGTTTTTAGACTTGCAGAAAGAGGAGTCAAGGGACGAAGAGGTCACTCGGGCTTATTTTAGAACTTTTTCCTGATGATCATATCACCCATCTCAAACAGGAAAAGACGAGATGCCGTGGAAAAGCATCAGTAGGCATCATCCATTTTCAGCTTCTGCTATGGACTGTGCATTGCATGCCCTTTACTCTGAGCCAGGCATCCATCTGAAAAAGACGACGTGGAATTTTTGTGGAGGAAAAGAAAAGTAAAAGCTGTAGCAGGTGAAATATGCAAGTTCCAGTTTTTACAAGTTTAGCTTCCTTTGCTAAAAATACCTCTTAAGGTAGTTTTTTTTCTGTGGCATATGGGGCCTATATAGCAGTCATGCTGATAAAACTTAGTATCACGCTGTATTCATTTGTTTTAGACTTGTAACTTTGAGAGGCTCAGCCCATGAAGCTCTCAGCAGAAGCTGCAATCTAATCACTGATCTGTGACTGACTATTTAAACCCTGGTTTCCTAAGAAAATGAGACCTGACCCCTGGAGCTTTTTGTCTTTCTCGGTAACTTGTTAACTTGCTGTCCAATTTCAAACAAATTGGAAGAGGGGCAGCAGTACTGAAGATAACTAAGTTTCTAAAAAAGTAGTGAACACTGGCAGTTGGGTAGAGGAGAGGGAGAGGTATTTACAACGACCACCATTTATCCTGGCGGGCAATGGTCAGCCAGCGCATGCCTAGCCTCTGCTCTGAACAGGCAGCACGCTGCCTGTTGCTCAGCCAGAGAGGAGGGAAACACATGGGGAAGCTTGGAATACTCTGGGGAAATAGTTTTGGGGAGTGGAGTGGGTATGGAAGAGGGCTGGGGTTATTGTAAAGAGTTATGTGGGTACCTAGGTAAAATTAGGAAAAGATCAGGCTTGTGGAACAGCTCATTTTCTGTCTCCACCTAGCTGCTGAACACAGATCACAAAAATGAGGGTTCTTTAGCTTGCAACAAATGTCTCCTTTAATGTGTGGATGCTAGGGTGAAGGCTAACGTGTCTCTCAAGGGCGTTTGCCAGATGCACTGGCTTTCAAGTGTTTCATGGCTGTGACAGCTGTTTCACACCTCAGCCAAGGAGAGGCCCGTGGCATGCTTGCGCTGCTGCACTCCCATTCTGTGCAGCGTTTTTACCACCAGGCCCATCAGCCTCACTTAAACAAATGTATCGTCGTATTTTGTAACTGTGCATTTTCACGACTTCAGGAAACAGTCTGTGTAAACAAAACATTAACCAGGACTATGTACTCTGGGGACCAGTGATTACCAGCATTTACAAAACCAGCTCTATCTGCCAGAAGATAAAAACTTCTTCCAGATTCAGGCATATGCTTGCTCACAGAGATGGGTGCAGCATTCCATTTTGCAGGCTTTCAAACTAATTTCTTCACTGCTAAAGTAGGAAGGAACTTGCCACGGTCAAATGATGGGGCTCAGCGCTTGTGCCCAGCTGCCTCTTGCATTATTAATAACTATCAGGCACATGGAATATGAAAAAAGTGGCCTATTTCAATAAACCTGTTCCTTGACTCCTTTCCCTTTTCCTTGGGAAGTTTTTACTCACTCCTAGCATTCATATCTTTGTCCTTTTTTTTGAGAACAAGGCAGGAAGTTCTTTCTTTTAAGCAATGTACTCCTTCTGTCAATACATTTTACCTGCCAGCCACCAGGTACAGTAAAGTCTCTTTCATGAGCCTCTTGTTTCTACTGTGCTTTAAGAATTTTCCATGCTCTCTCTTAACTTTCTGCACAACACAGCTTGTGTAAGTAACATGATTTCTAAAACTCACCTCCTGGATTTTAAAACAAAGATGTTATACTTCAGACAATGCAGTAATGAAAAAAACATGACAACATAGTAAACCCCCCCCATATTTCTCTAAGAATTTATAACTGACATGGCCCCCACCCCATTCAATTTTCTTAACTTTTTTCCTGCCTCTCCCATCTTATTTCTTTAGTGCTTTAAAAGTTTTAATTTCTTTAATTGTACTCTGACTATTCCTTGCGTGTTCCATTACGCAAGGCAACCATATGAAGGTTGATCCATAGTTTTCAGGGTATACTAGCTAAACATTTTATAAGAGGCAAAAAGTACATCTTTTACAGATCTTATAACCTATCCTTTATCCTTCGTTACACTGTGTGCTTCCTGATTAATTTCTACTACTCTTTTTATTTCATTCCAAATATCACGTTCTAGATGACTTCTGGGCATATATAAATGTCATGAGATGCTAACTTTCCAAAGGATGAAGATACCACAAAATGGACCTAAAAAAGTGAAATGCCAGCCTACAGGAAGGCAACGCACTGCTGAAAAGTTAGGAAGCCAAACCAAACAAGTTATGGCTTTGAACTTTTACATCTTGAGTATCATTCATCTTCTGTACCTGAGGTGAATTAGGATTACTGACATATTCATGCTTCACAGCTAAGGCTGGCAAAGGTTCTCCTATGACATAAAACTAGATTTCTGATTAACCAAAAATCTTACAGAAAAGGTGTCTGCTTCTCGTGGAAAATTGTGACCTTTCTCTGAAAAGTCCCAACTAGAAAATGTTTGTATATTAGTGTTTATCTTTCTAGTTAATATTTCCAGGTTTTCACAAAAAGCAGCCCACTTTCCAATCAATTCTATTCAGACATGGATCACTTCTGCCTGAATCAGTTTTCAAACTATAAGTATTTTCCTGATTCTATCCCCTTTAGGTGGCCAAATTTAGCATTAATACGAGGAGTAACAAGTCCCTGGGACTAGCAATGTCCCAATTGCTAAATTGGGACCATTAGCTTCGTATCTGGAACACAATGATCCTCCTATTGTAGTTTCTGTCATGAGCTATTATACAAATTATTTTCAAACTTTTTTTTTTTACTGTACTGTACAAGAAAGAGCTACTTTCATCATCTTTCTATCTTCACAGAGTCTCTTCAAAACATATCCAACAGTAATAAAACATCAGTGATTGCTTTTTCTTTGGCTAAGTTTAGGCACTGAATTTCTCCTTACGTGTTCTACTGTGATTACTGCTTACTACTATTCTTCATTTATATATCTTTTTCTTTGAAAATTAAAATTTAATTACTAATTCATATTAATGCTTTTCATATATCTTTTACCTTCTCAGCTCTATTGAGATTTTAGATGCTCTGTCTTTTTTGCTTCCCTGATTTCTTAGGGAATTTTCTATTTTTCCTTCTCAAGACCCACTTTCCTGCTCATTTTTTCCCTGCTGAGAACTGACACCTTTTTGAGCTTAATTAATGCTGCCCTGCTATTACATACACCACAGATACTAAAAAGTTCTCTGACCAGAGACTCATTAAAATATATAAGAAAACTGAGGATTTTAAAGAAATTTAACCTCAAGTTAGCCCTATTTCTTGAGAAAACGAGACATTTCTTGAGAAATGTGGCCAGCTACTCCTTCAAGCAACTTCTGCTCTGTGTCAAAGATTTTCTAGCATGTTTCCCAGGTGGGTATTTACTGGAAGCAAGAACAGGGAATTAAAGTAGGGAGAAATTTTAACTGCTGCCCCTCTGAATCCTGGTCCCCCACCAAAAAGGTAGCAATTCACACACTGCTGCTTGTTGTGCGCTGCAAGCAAGAGAAGCTGCAATACTACGCAGACCAAAGGGATTGTGTCTGTGTGTTTGCATTTTGTCATTTTCTCTTTGAGACACTTTTTAATGATGCAATGAGAAGGTATGTCCCTGTTATATGCTCTAATACTCCATTAATGTTTAGGCTTTTTTAAATATTGGGCTGCAACCTGCATATTCTTTCCGACCTTGACATCCAGAGGGCAGTCAAGTAAAAACTCCTAAGTGCAAATCTGAGGAGTCTGACCTCTTTCACCTCAAGTACAAATTGCTATTGACTTGAGATCGAAGTGAGGTCCCATGTCTATTTTTAAAGCACTGTGTTTATTTTTATTAATTCTGGTATTTTTTATGTCTTTAAACTACTCGTTATGTCCAGTTTTCCACTTGAACTTATTTATTTTTAGATAGAGGTGTCTCGCCTGCTTGTTTGATATCAACAGACACAAGTTGTAATTAGGGAAAGTTCAATTAGGTATTAGGGAAAAAAACTCACAAGGTGTTCAAATGCTGGAACAGGTGATCAGAGAGGTGGAAATGAAACCTCCGACCTTACAGATATTGAACAGTTGACTGGATACAACCCTGGTCAGGCCATTCTACCTTGGAATTTGGCCCTGCTTTCAGCAAAGGGGACTGGACCCTTGCTGAAGATTCCTTCCAACCCAAATTATTTTATGACTCTATGTTTTGGTATCCTGAACTCACTTTATGTGATCTGTTTAAAAAGCTTTGTCCCTTCCTGAATAAGGAATCAGGCTGACAGTTGTTTATGTAGCTAAACATATCTCCTAGATAATAATTCTTTCATTTAATATATGAATTCCTTTTTACAAGAAAGCCTAGGCAACTTCTGCTATTCTGTCTTCCACAGCACCTATCTGATGGAATCAGCACAATCCAACTGCAGAACTTTTCATTCCTGTATCTATTATGTAGCACATAGCGGCTTTCTGAACAAAATACACACTAGACACGTACCATGATAACAGCATCCATTGCAGTTAATCCAAGAGCAAGCACATCTGTTATACTATGACAAGCACTTGCCTTTTGTAAGAGTTCTATCTAAGCACTGCAGGAGTGAATCCATCATTCCTGTTCATGTCATGTTCCTGCTGCTGCTGCTTGAGCTCTGACTCCCTCTCTTCTCCTTCCCAGTGCCACCTGTCCTGTGCCTTGCAGACTCCCCTACCTGACCTTTTTACTAGAAAGGGAGAAAAGCTGAAGACAGAGAGGCATCTTCTGAATGGCAGAAGATCCACAGCAGTCCCCGCAGTGCTCCAGCTGACTGCCGGAGGGCACTCCCAGAACCTCCCCTGAGAGCAAGAGGAGGCCACCCACAGAACCAGACTGAATAA